CATAAGGAAGATGGCAACTATTAAGCTAGCCTCCCTTAGTAATCAAGGGGGGGGGGGGGACAAGATTTTAAGAGCAGCCACTACACAACCTACACAATTTTTTGACCTCTTTCATGCATGTTGAATACTTTATCTCCTATTTTCTAAAGCAGCCTGCAAAAATATAGCTAAACTAAGTTCTTAATACTTTGAATGGGTTGTTTTTGCCCTGCTGTCATGGAGCAAGGTAGGACAAAACTATACCACCTTAGTATGCTTTACAAAACTGTCTTTTTGAACAGCACCTTCCACTTCACCTGTAGAGAACGGTCATTGGATACTTTACCTCTATGCCTACAGGCAACATCTGCATATCCTGGAAACACCATCTGTTACTCTCTCTCTTTGCCCTCAACTCCCCTGGAAACGTTGCAGCTAAGGCCTATGATTCATAGCACCTACGATTCCTGACAGTAAATATTAAGAGTTTGACAACAGTGATGTCTTTCCTTAACAGTATTCTTAATGATTACCCTTCGTTTTCCATTGGGTGTGTGTTTTGTTTATTTGTTTTAACAGCAATTGCATATCTTTAAAGTCACCTCAGATAACTGGGTTTACACTCAGCCTTCCTACATATACAACAGGATGGGATTGAGCAATTTTAATGAATAATATTTCATTTATTTATTCTTATTTGTAATTTGCGCAAAGTAGATTTTATGTATGTGGAAATAAATGTACACAATATTTTTTTCAAGGCTTATTCACAACAGTTGCTCAGACTTCAGCATGTGCTACATCTCTGCAAAGGGTGTGGCATAAAAAGCCAAAGGAAACTGTTGCTGATTTCCATTTTTTTCTTGATTCTCTGTGCCAAACTGCCAGGAATTTGGACTAGTCAGCTGAAGGATCAGGCACAATTCATGAATCTGTAGCAACTAATTCTGTCTTAAGGTCAGTTGTAAACAATACGTTACCTGTTCCTCATCTCGGAGGGGAATGTTGGTCATTGGAGACTTAAGAACAAACTCACCTCTAATGTAAGGCCCTAGGCAGACATTATGTGTGTTGCATGTTGCATGCAAGTATTGCATAACCCAGTGTAACCTGCCAACTGGCCACATGTTACAGTGATCATGAGATAATTCTGCACCACAAAGAAATTGTTTCAGCAAGCAGCTTCTCTGAGACTGGTCTGCCATTTTTATCTAGGGATAATCTGTTTTAACGTCTGGCATGTTATGATTTGTTGTGCAATACTTGCATGTAGCACACCACTTGTAACATTTGCCTGGGGCCTACATGAGTGCTATAAAGTGTCACCTTCTTACATTAGTACCGAATTTGGACTTTGATCTTTTAGTCCCCTTTCTGTGTAAGGGAAGTCTAAATGCTATGTAGAAATTACACTTGCAAGTCAAACTTCTCTCTTTTCTCAGTCCTGAATGCCATTTTTATTAACCAAAGCATTCAAAGACCCTAATTTAAAATTAATTCAGTGGCTGAAAATTGGTATTTGGGAAAATGAAATCTTTGAGGGCTCCATAGTACAAATAATGATTTGGTCCAGGAACAGGCCTGGTCCACAAAGAGATCTACTCACATCCATGAAGAGATATGCAGCTGCCTGAGGTGGAAAGGAGACAGGACTCTCACACCTTTTTCTCTGAGCATCTAGGACATTTTTTTTTTAGACTGAGGGTAGTATGAAGACAAGGAGAAAGTGATAGGAATGGGGTCCCAGCTTACCATCCTGGGTAAACTGGCTCCGGGAAGGAGGCTTGCTGAGAAGGTAAGTTCTTCTTTTTGCCCTGTATGTATACATAGGTATAAAGGGTCTCCATCTGTTTTATATTATCCAGCAGCCATTATATATGAATCCTGAGCTAGTTACACTCCTGAACTCTTACCTTGGGGCTGACAAATCCTAGGGTCTTAGTAGTATATGAAGAGAAGGGAGCCCCTTCAAAATGAGTGGAAGGATGATGGCCCTGAAGCACAGGTGCGCTGCAGAGGTCCTCAGCATCATCCCACAGATGCTGGGAATCCTAAGAATTATATTTGACTCAGGAAAAGTACAGCACATGGACTAGCGGTAAGAGTTGCTTGAATGCTTTCATAACAGCATGTTTCAACTTTTTCTAAGGTAGTTCAGTGTCAGCTCCCCTCATTGCTAATGCTGGGACTGCCAATAAGGCTGCATGTTTTGCCGAATGCTATCAGGAAGCCCCTTGAGGTTAAACTGGGTGATAAGTGACTGAAGAACACACACAGCTGCTGAAGTAAACCCCTTGCAAATTAATTTTAATAGCATTCAGGAACATGACTCTATTAGAACAGACAATTAATGATGTTTCTGTTATGGGTGAGATGCAGCTAAAAGTTAAATGCACATTTTTTTGGTATTATGATTGATGTCTAAAGTAACAAGAACTTGCTTTCATGTATTTTGTCTTTGTGGATTGTTAGTTTACATTTTGGTTGCTCATTTGTCTAAATCTTTTCTTTTGAATGTATGCAAAGGAATATTCTTGTGAGGGCGTTTTGCCCCTTGCTAAAACTGTGAACTATATTTTTACATGGCTTTCACTTCTGGAACATTTTCAGTTATTTAAGTCATTACTTCCTGCTTCTTGGATTGTAAGTCTTAAAGAGTGCTTTCTAACAACTGCAGAGTAATTTTGTATTTATTTTTGTGAATAAAATGTTTACTGTTATATTTGCATAGCTGTTTGTAGTCTGCTCTGTACGGAGCCTTTGTTTCCGTTTTGGAACCAACAGTTTGTGACAAAGTCTCTGAAATGCGAGAATCTTACAGATAACAGTTGTGAACTAACTGAAGCTTCAGGGTGACTGAGCAGGTCCATGATATGTAACCCTGTTTCATTCAGTTGCTTCCATACTTTAAGCAGCTATGAACCATTTCAAATCCTCTGTCCTCCGACTCTCCCTTCTCTTACTACCGTGCTACTAACGATGCTTTTTCTGTGGCAACAATACAGTTCGGTTGTATGGAAGAAGCCATGGTACGGGAGTCCTGGAGAAAAGATTTAAAGAAAGTAAACCAACCCCTTCCCTCCCATGCCATCTGGGTTTAACACAGTGGATATGGCTGTACAACCCCCTGTTTTGCATCTATGCTACTTACTTCCTTTGCTGAGTGCAGGACTTCGTGTTCATTAACACTCAATTTCTTCTCATTGCTTGCATCTCCCACTGCTCTAATGTCTCTAGGTCCCTTTGCAACCTGGATTAGCCTTCAGTGTGTGCACTACCTTTTCAATTTTGGTGCTATTCACCAATGATGTCATGGGTGAATTTGTATCAGTGATTGAAATCAGCTGCACTGGATGCAGAGAACTGCTTGGATTTGATTGATTTTAGTTGGTCAAGAAACGTCTAGAACCCTGTGCATAGTTCTGCATTATGTTGCACCTAATGAGAAGTGTTGCTTGGGGAAGATGGATGGACGTTATTGAAGTGACGGGCATCAGGAGGTGCACTGTAATGTTCCAGTAGCCCACAGACTGCAGTATGAGAGCTACAGATCAAATCAGGTACCACTGCAGCAAAATCACCATGTATTTTTATAGACCTGATGTGAGCCAGGCCTAACTTCAGGATTATCAACATGAACTCAAGTGCTTTGACTACATAATATCTGCTACTAATTTTCTTTCACTCCCTTCATTAATAGCCATCTCTCTGAACACTTGATTCAAAGAACGAATATGTCTAGATTGCATCAGTGATGATGCGCTGGAGAAATTGCCCTCTTGCTCATTCATTTATTCTTATTTGTCATTTGTAC